TTAGTGACTATTTCATTCTATTTGGTGGCACTCCTATCTCTTGGAAATCAAAGAAACAGATTACCGTTTCTTTATCTTCAGCAGAGGCCGAGTATAGATCAATGAGACGCATTTGTGTTGAGTTAGCATGGCTAACAAGGATATTTCATGATCTTCAAGTTTCGAATCTTCAACCTATTCCTTTGAAATGTGATAGTCTAACAGCTATTTATATTGCAAAGAATCTGGTTTACCACGATCGAACCAAACATGTCGATATTGATTGTCACCATGTTCGTGAAAAACTACAAGAAGGACTCATTCAGCTATCTCATGTATCAACAATTCACAATCTGGGTTTTCTTTCGCACCCTCCAGATTGGGGGGGGGGAGGTGTTAGAACTAATCAAGGGCAATTTAGTAATTTAAATGTTCATTGTTAGTTAGTTTGTTAGTTGGTTAGTCTGTATCAGTTAAGGAGTTGAAGTTCTTATTTCTTCTTGTATATATATTGTGTCTGTATCTTTCTTTGACAATCAATAAATACAGATCATTACAATCTCTTTCTTTCTCTATTTCATTCCTGATAACAATTGGTGACGGTCTGGTTACACATGTGAGGGATCTTGCAATGGAAAATGAAGGTTGGTGGTACAGATTGTTGGGGAGATATGAAGGACTGGAGGTTAGATTTGGATGATGGTTGAGACGAAGAGAGGTTGAAGACGATGCATCAGGTGATGGAAGAAGGTGATCATGGGGGAAAATAAAGGGGTATTTTTGTCTATATAATCTTATACCATCTTGTTCCATCCTTTTGGGTGGGACTAAAAATAAGATATATAGTCCCACTTGATGTGGTCATTGTCCCACTTTGATCTAGTTCCATAAATGCCGAACACCACTTCAAAAGATTTAGTACTTATTGATGCAGTTTATTGGAAGGGAAATATATAGAAGGGTAGCAAAAATAGTAGAGGGAAACGGAAATTAAAATGAAACTCTTATAGGGAAGTGAAACTTTTATAATGCGGTTCCCTGTCTTTTTTGATATGGTTTCAATTTTTATAAATATGTTTAATAGTGTGGGTTTTGATAAAAATAATGATTTTTTTATATTTTTACGGCTGATATAAGAAAACCGCACCAATAAATGTTTTAAATGGTACAGTTATTTGGTTTATTAATGTGAAACTGTTTTAATGGTGTGGTTTTAGACCAAAGGGAGTGGTGCGGCCTGGACCGCACTCCCTATGCCACATAAGCCGCAAACACCGCCCCCTGGGTGCGGTCCAGGTGCGGCCTAGGGTGCACTGTGGCCTTCCAGGGGTGCGCTCCTTGCTCAATTTTGATTGGTTCCATGTTTTACCGTTTTTAAACGGTCAAATTTCAAAAAATTAATTTTTTTTACCAATACTATAAATACATTATCAACTTAACTAAAAAAACTCATCAACATTTTACCATCTTCTCTCTTTTCAAACCCACAAAAAATGTCATCCTCAAAAAATCCAACCAACGAAAAAACACCCATTAGAAAACCCACAACTCCAAGACCTTCACTCGATCAACCGGTTTATTCGCCTCCTTTCTACCACTACGGGGGTATGCTTCCCTATTTTCCACAACATATCCAACAACCACGTCCTACGCAACCATTTCCACAAACACAGCCACAATTTGACCAAGATTTTGATTCGTTTGATTTTGGTTCCTAACCAGAGTTTGTTCCAGAAACACAATCACAACCACAAACACCCATTTCTGAATCTGAACCAGAATTTGTTCCACAAACTCAACCCTCTCAACCAGGAAATAAAAGAAAAGAGAAGGCGGAAGCTAAAGCGTAGTCACCTCAAGAAGAGTTAGTATTAGCACAATCATGGATTGACGTTTCAAAGGACGCGAAGACGGGAGGGAACCAAAAACATGATCGTTTTTGGATGTGCGTTCGAGCTCGATTCCACAAAGGAATGAACCTGGAACCATATCGTACTAAACATCAGGTGTACTCAAAATGGGGAAAGATGAACAAAGATGTGATGTTGTTTAACGATTTATATAACAACATTAAACGACAATGGAAAAGCGGCGAAGTGATTTTGGAGAAAGCTTTTAACATTTATCAAAAAGAGCAAAAGAAGACTTTCAAGTTTTTTGAAGTTTGGAATCTATTCAAAAGCAACAAGAAATGGGAAAAACTGACAACAAGCGACGAGCACATCAATAGCGGATCAAAACGGTCAAAAACTTCCGAATCCGAACACACTTCATCGGATGCGCGTGTTGATTTTGACCTCAACGAAGATGAGTCCGTTCAAGTGTCACCACCCCCGACCAATGGAAAGGGACAAAACAAAAAACAAAGGCAAGGGCAAAACGTCGGAATCGGATGACTTGAAAGAAATAGGCGAGAACGTGCAAGACATAAAAGATAGAATGGATAAATTTTTGCAACTTGCTTCGGATAGAGAGAGTCGGAAACAAAGGGACAGCAACCTGGGAGTGCTATCGATGGACACGTCGAATTTGACCGGGGATGCGCTTCAAATCGTTTTGCAAATGAAGGAAGACGTATAAAAACGTTACGTTAATCATGGTTAATTTGTAGTTGTTTTCCAAGTTTTTAATTATTTGATGTGTTTTTTTTTTAAAATGTACGTTTAAGCTTTCTAGTTTTTTATTTTCTAATTTCCTAGGATTTTTTTAAGTAATGTAATGGTTTTTATTTTTAATTAATGAAATATTTTGTTTTTATTTTAAACTTAAAATTTTATTTATTTAAAAATAAAAATAATTTAAAAGAGTGTGGCACCACTCATTGAGTGTGGTATGAGACCACACTTTTGTGGTAATAGGTGAGGTGGCGCCTACGTGTCATTGCGGTTTCATGAGAGAGCGCGGCACCACTCCCTCCAGCCTTAGGCTTCAATCGCACAAAAAAAATCATCACTATTAAATACTTAATACATTATGTACTAGTTAAGGTCTTTATCAGTGGCGGACCTGTATGGGTCCCGGAGGGTCACGTGCCAGCTCAAATTTCGTCCCCAAGAGTATTTTTTTAATGTTATTGTGCAACCACATGCAACTATTAGAAGAAGAAAACAATACCGAAGCAATAGTAAGAGAAAAGGGTTTTCTCTATCTAGGATTACAAGAGAAAAGAGAGGTAAGCGATCTGATCCCACCAATTTTGAAGGTACTTTGGTTGACACTAAAATATTAAAAAGAAATGTAAAATGGATGTTGCAATCGTTTGCGTTATCTTGGTCGTTTGCTTTGTGTGGTTTGATCATTTGATGTATGCGAGACCATGGAGAGAAACACTACATGTTGCGGCTGACTTTTAGGAAGATAGACCGCAATAGCGTTAAAAGTATCTAGGTTAAAAGCATTTTTGGGGTAAGAACGTATTCGTGAGGAGGTTGTTTTGGAATTAATGGCTGAAAATAAATATGATTATAATAGACAATAATAAAAATATGTTTTTATTTATTTTGTATAACTAGTTAAAAATTAGTGGATGAAGTTAAATATTATTATAATAAATGGTAACTTTTTTGGTGTAGGGTTGTTTTGGATTTTATTTTTAAATATCCAACTCTTTTAATATATATAACTATAACTATATATTACGGAAAGTTGGTTTATTAGGTAGAATCTTACGATTTCAGTTTGATTTTACGATCATAATTTTGTAAAATGAAAAACGATTCAAGATAAGATCTCGATCTTATAGCTTTGATTAAAAGTTAATATGAGCCGATGGTTCTTTTTTTGAGGCCGTCTTTTGCAAGTTAAAATTATAAACTTTATCAAACCTAAAATACTTGGTTTAAAGTTTGGGTTTGTTTAATGTTTCTCAAACTAATTTTTAGTAAAAGTTTTTTATTTTGGTTTGAGTTCGTTTAAGTTTGACGGGTTTTTGGGTTTGTCTTGTCTCCACCCGACCCGACCCGACAAACCCATTTGCCAGGTCTATGTTACATTTGATCAAAATATTTTTGGTGCCACTACTACTAGATGTTCCTGCGTCCACCACTGGTCTTTATATATATAGTAGCCCAAGTAGAGTAGATAAGGGATCCCAACGGAGAGTAGTCCAGTCCATTGGACCACCGACCACATGTCCACATGGGTACTCTTAGCCACCGTGCATGGTATGAAACTGCATGTATGCACCATGACATAACCACCACTTGATTCAGCTCAAAAGCTGCCATATAAGTTTGATCGATCCCTTAAATTGAGAGGGATTTGTATTTATGATGGGGAACAAGAAAGAAGTTTTAATCCAAATTTGAATGACAAGAAAAGCAGATGATTTAGTTATTTGTTCTGGAGGGGTTTTATGATTTCTACCATATATAGCAATGCAAGAGACGTGCTTCAGAGACATATATCAGCCCTTTATTGCATAAAAATTACATCACTCCTGAAGGATCTTTACGTAAAGATGAGTGTGGTTTAGTCTTTCATATTATCACAATATCTTTAAATACAATAAAAAAGTCGAGCACCCCTTTTCTAAAATTTATCAGAATTGTCGCATATTCAATTATAACGTAGTAATATTGATTCCGTAGTGGTGTAGTCCATGTTTCTTTTAAAAAAAAGGCGAATATAATGGAAATACTCATATAAACAGTATAAAGCAATATCAATCTCTATAAAGCAATATCAACCTCTATAAGTTCATGAAATATAGGAATAAAATCAAAAAGAGAAAATTCTAATCAAAACGAATTACGTACACAAATCTCAGCATAAGTAAACATGCATGACCTAATAAAAGAAAGCTAAAGCGATCCCCAAGAAACTGAAGGGTACCACGGCGGTGAAAGATGAACCAAAACTGGGTGATGGCGGTTGCAGAATGGTGCCTTCTGTGGGTGGAGAAAAAAGTGTGGGTGGAACAAGTGTGGGTGGAGAAACAAGTGTGGGTGGAGAAACAAATGCGGGAGTAGCGGATGATGGTGGTGGTAGAGGGGTGGCAGACGTGGCGGAGACGTTGATGGTTAGTTTTTGACCAATTTGGCAATGAGTTCCAAAGGTGCAGATGTAATAGTGTGTGCCAGGTGTGTTAAAGTGAGTCTAGCGGGGCCGGTGGTGACGACGGAGATGGGGTTGGCGGTGGTGCATGGGCAGTAAGCCGCCTCCGAAACTTCAGCAACATTATGGAATCCGGTGATGAAGTTAAAGAGAAGAACATCACCGACTTTGAATGTGTGAGTTGATGCCCAGGTGTTGTAAGCAGAAGGTCCGTTGGGTGGAATATTCCAGCCCAAGGCGTCGCCGACCACATGTGTAGTCTGAGCCACCATTCCGTGAAACTGCATGGATGCAAACATGAGCACCATCATCACCGCCAAATTGAACTTTAAACCTGCCATCCTTGTGAAGAGAAGCACTGTCCGATGATTATTTGAAATCTAGAAGGATTTTGAAGGTTAATGCCTTAATTAATGGTGTTTTGAGAAATAGTTGTGTTGGGATTTATATTTATAGGGAATGGTTGTAGGGACGCGTAAACAACCGTGAAAAGGAAAGTCGTATTTAAAATCTAGAAGGATTCTGAAGATTAACATTTAAAAAGTCGCTATTATAATAAAAAGAGTCCATTTATTGGTATGTGGCATCTTCGTAAACTACCTAAATATTTTTTGATGTTTAGTAATTTTAACTCTAAATATTTTGGTGATCCCTCAAAATCAGCAACTTAATGGATTAACAGTTTGTCAATTATTTTGGTGATCCTGAATTGAATTCGTATTGAAACCAGCAAGAAATCAGAAATCGCAAGGAAATCTCAAAAAATCGGGAAGCAAAATAATCTCCAAATTTGAATCAGGCTTAATATGTTAACTCGACGCACCTTATATAAAGCTGCTTTCACCCATCATCCTCCTTTTTGTTGATCAACTATTAGTTTAAATATTCATGTTGTAGCCTTTGTTGTTATTAAGGGAGGAGGGAGTCGTTACCTCCCAACCCAATGAACCCACTGCCACATCAGCTTTTCTCCTTGATTTTTTTTCATCTTTCCCAACCCACAATACACGGAAATCCTATCTTTCTCAACCCACTCAACTCACTCAATTAAAAAAAATACTAAACAACTAAGGTAAACTACCTAAATATTATAATAAAAAGAGTCCATTTATTGAAAAATTATTTTTTGATGTTTGCTATTCTGACCAAGAAAGTAAATCCTTTTGTTTACTCAGGTTTTCTATTCTAATCAAGAGGGTAAAACTTGATTCAACCTCCACCTGCTAGTACGACCTATTATCGTTTGTATTTTCAATTGCTTTGTTTGATGTAAAATTTATTTTGTTGTTTGACTTGACGTTCACATATTGTTTTATTTTTGTATTTATTGTTTTTTTTTTGGTAATGTTAATTTTTGTATTTGAGTGTCTAATGATCATTGTTTTGTTAGTTGAGTGTATCATCTTAAGTTGCGTTGTACAGTCCAAAAACATATACTAACGTTGTGTTACATAGTCCTAAAAACTGAATATCTTAAAAGTTGGTTTCAGAATGTTGAGAACATGGGGTTGGTGAACCTGGTAATTCATGTAAGGTTTGCTCTTTGGAACATTGTTAGGATACTAATTTAATTGATTGCCAAAAGCTGAAACTGTGTATAAGGCTATAAGCTGGGAAAAACATATGAAATAACACAAGTAGGAAACTATGAGGAGCTTATGCATGCTCATAAAGATCTCATCACAAGTTCAAATCCTTCATTTCTCGAAAACTAAAATGAAATCCTAGAAACTGAAATATGGATTTGAAAAATACTAATAATGTCACCTCTTTAAGGAAACAATGAGAGGCCAAAATCGTAATTTTCCCTCAATTCTATTAGCAAAATATTTTCTGAACTGTAGCTTATTTCATTTTTAGGTAACATAAAAAAGTATATGTTTTTTAATTCGTTTACATTTAAATTAATCATTTGCCCTTCACTTTTTGTTTATTGCAAATATAAAAAAGTAGGTATGTCTACAGTTTATTAGATATAAATGAGATAACCCTTAAACATAAATGAAAGTATGTGAAAGGAAGAAATAAAGGTGTAATATTATAAAAAAAACAAATAAGTGAAAGTAGAATGCTTACAGATAAATTTTCTGTCTTTGTAAATAAATATTTTTTTGCAAATCAGCGGTTACGATTTCGAATTATCAATAATTTTTTTTTAACCATGATTTCTACGGGTTTAAACCTAATATACACTATATAACATAATTGTGACAATATTTGTCTATTTTATAAGAATAAATCAATAAGATAAATATTGGATATGATTTTGTGTGCGTCGATCACGAAACATCGTTTTAACTCTAAATATTTTTGTGTATAAAAGTAATTTTAAATGTTAATTATTAATTTCTAAAAATAATTTTTGTTTATATTAGATGTTGAGTTGTCCCTAAATTTTGTTTATTAATTTGAATATTAATAGTGTATATAGTTGATAAGAACATGGGTGTGAATGTGTGGTGCTTTGTTTTGTTGGAAAAAATATTTATCTTTAGCATATTATATTTGTTAGAATGTATGATAGCATTGCACACTAAATATTATTTTTAAAAATAATTCTTTTTTTGGAAAACACGTGTGTTCTTATCTCTAAATATTATTAAAATATGTGACAACCCGAAACTTTTTCCGTTTCTGTTATACGATTTCCATTAATAAAATTTGAATTTTATTAATTTTCCGTCAAACTTCTTGATTTAGAAAATCATCTAGTTTTATATAATTAAATTTATATATGCGAGTCGGAACCAAATCACGCGAAAACCCGAATCTCTCGAAAAATCAAACAATTTATGGCCTTAGTGAGTTTACAGCCGTAAACTCGTGTACACTCGTTTACGGCCAGCGTCGGGTGGACCCCCACCCTCATTTGAACACTTTTGACCGGAACTCCCTCATTCTCTCTCTAGAACCCCTGGCCGTAAACACCTAAAACGCCCATTTTCTTCCGAAAAACATCAAAAGTCATCATTTGGGGTCGATTGGGAGCATCTGGAACACGTTTTCTGCGAAATCAAACACCCTTGTTCTTGAGTTTACGGTCGTACACACTTCATATCTTCAAATCTTCAAAGGCCGTAAACCCGTTTACGGCCGTACACTCATCGAATCTTCAAAGGCCGTAAACCCAGTTCACGACCGTAAACTGCCTGTCGGCCGTAAACCACTCTTCACGGCCGTACACCCCTGTTCACGGCCGTACACGCCTCTTAAGCAGTGAAAAGCTCGTTTTCCCGATTCAATCAAGTCCCGATAACATTCCTTAACCGAGAACAAGTGTTTTCTAACACTTTACCTAGCGAAATAGCTAATTTAGATACATATATGTATTTATTTGTTATTAGGATTCTGCTAAGTGCCACACATGTGACATCCTCATTTTCTTGGCCAGAAAAGACCGATTTTGTTTATGCTTTATAAAAATCAGAGTACTTCTTTTAATAAAAATGTTGCGGAATTTGTTCCCAGTAAAACATGATAAATACGTTATCAAAAAATTTCCGAAGAAATGTATTTTTTATTCATTTTCAAAACATTGGGATGTCATCGTCAATACAGAAACATAAGCATAAACAGAACTTACATTTATTTACACTAGTGATCTACATCTCTTTTAAATCTCCCAGTGTAAAATGGCTTCATATCGACACATGTGATACAAATAAGCTTGAGTGGGTCAGGTTGGGAAACCTGGTGAGTACATAGGGTTTTCAACCCACAATAATATAATTATTATGTTTAAACAACAAACAATCAACCCAATTACCCTTCCCCATTATCTTCTTTATTCTACCCTAAGAATCAACTATTCCTCGTTCATTTATTCCTAAGGATTATCCTAAGGAATCGGTACGAAATCCATCGTTTTCCAGAGTCTACTCATTTGGTACTACGTCGCATAATCGCCAGGTTTTAGGCACTAAGTCTCATAGTCACCAGGGTTTATACAACAGTCACTACGTTGCATAGTTGCCAGGGTTTGTTTATCGACAGTATCGTTTCCGAGAATCCACTCGCAATACATGTCAATGGGTTTTTAGAGTACATCTAGTGAATACACAGTTCAAAACACCTACAGGTTGCGAGCCTGCTAGTGTCCATTGGACTGTCTAGAATAGTCTGTGGTTGTCATCCATACTCTGCTGAATGACGGGGCCAACACATGGGTAAAAGACTTCTCCCATGGTTTACCTCTCACCCTTATCTCATGGTCTATATCACTTCTCATCATTTTATTTTTGTCACACGACAACTATTTCATCTACCCATGTTTTACCCAACACATTTTGTAGATATAAAATACATATACAGTTTAAATCATTTAAAACATGTATAAAAATCTTTCACCCAGCACAGACGACAAGTATACAGACAATATGCACACATAGCACGTAATTTATATTATATACTTCATATCTATGTGTAAGATGAAAGGGACTATGCAGTCACCTGATTAGGTGGTGACTCGGTACTTGAACAACACTTCGTTATCTCAAAACAATTTTTCCTTGACCAAAACCTAGTATCAATACCACTAGAGTTTAGTTTTAACGTTAACCGCGACTAATTAATAATCTAGCTATTATTATTAGTATATAAGCGTTAAATAACACTCAATATAACTCATAATAATAACCCAAATAATTATTTTAAGGACCTAATAACATTACTATAATTATTTAAAAGCTATATTAAAAATTGCGTAGGCGTAGCTCACTTACAGCGGGTTTTCTTAAAAATCGGACTTTGCTCGGAGCAGCGTTTCCGAACCGAAAGACCCTTTTTCTCGGGACTCCGGGAGCCTCGGGGCTTCCTTCGGGTGCTAGGGGGTTTACCTAGGCTTTAGGGGGGTTTAGGGGGCTAGAGAGAGAAAGTAGTGAGAGATAGATATAGTAAATTAGTGAGAAAAGAGGTTGCACCTCGCATGCTATTTATAGGGTCGAGCTGCTGGGAACACGCTGCGCTCCTCGGACCTACGTTGGGCGTTCCTCGGACGCAGGACGTAGACTTCCAACGCGGTGCGTTCGTACGAGACGTGTCCGAAGCCTGATGGTACGACGTGGCCTGCTCCGAGACCAAGCAATTCCGAACGCGAGGCGTTCCTTGTACGCGCTGCGTAGCGAGGCCAGGTGTCCTTATCGGATGCGAGACCGTGGGGAGCAAGGGAAGGCTGGGATCGTGCCACGTCATCGCATCTAGCAAATTCTCACTTCGACTTCTAAAAATCATAACTTTCGCATACGAGCTCCGTTTTCGACGTTCTTTATATTCACGCGTAGGAGGGAACGTACTCTACAACTTTCGTTTAGACTCCGTCGGCTAATTTTGACTTTATTTTAAA